AGTCCTTTTCCATCAGGACTTGTTCTGTTGCTGATGAGTCCTTTTCCATCAGGGCTTGTTCCGTTGCTGATGGGTTCTGATTTCGAGTATACTCGGCCTTCGTAGGCTGTTTTTTTTCCCTTCATTGTAGATGAACCGCCTTTCTAATTCGGTTTCTGAGTCCACGTCCGATTTATTGATTCCCAGTGCTGGGATCCGAGCAACCCACTGTGGCGGCCTAAATAGCAGCGATAAGACTGATGGTGCTCTTCTGCCCGGGAATCTCTGGTCTGGCTTCCCTCTTGAGTCCGCAGCAAGCGGCTCCGACTTCCAAGAGCTCCAAACTCAGGTCAGTAGGGGTAGCAGTCCCGTTTGCCCTGCATGAAGAGCTGCTGTGCCGAGACGCCGGCAAAACCGCTGCAGCGGCCACAAGAGTCACGCTGGCAACCCGTGGGGCTCCTCCACTGGGAATCAGCCAATCTGTGAGTGACGAAAATTTGTCTAAAAGTGTGGCGTCGTCTCGTTCTCTGAGCTTTCACTCGGAGCTACAATCCCGAGCTGTTAGTGATTGGCCATCTTGGATCATCCCTCTATATCCAGGTTTTTCATAAAGAATGAGTTACAACTTTTTATCATCCTAAGCATTTGAGTTTTCTCTCTCTGTTAGAGAAGTTTTGATACTTAACTGAATAGAGTAACATTCACTATTCAGTACAGATTTCAGTCTATTCACCATATAAATTTTTTCAGCCACTCTCTACTGTTTGAACATATAACATTTAGAATCTGATAAGTTACCTAGAAAGATAATTTACTTGAAATTTTATATTTTTCTTCTTATTCCAACATCTTTATAATTCAGTTCTATGCATTTTTCCATAAGCCTTCATAAGCAAAGTACAGATTTTCAACTATTACTGAGAATAAACTATCTTTTCTTGTGTCACATTTCACACTTAACCCTTATAGCATATATATGAATATAACTAGAATCATATATTATATGATTCTAGTTACAGTAGTAATAAGGAGAAGAACTGTATCTTCAGAAGAATGAACATTCTCTTTTGAAGAATTTCCTAACAGGTTACAATGTTATTATGTAAAGATAAAAAGTAAGTTGTTTCCTGTATGCATCTGTTTTGCATAAAGGAATACCCAAGACTGGGTAATTTATTAACAGGAGAGGTTTATTTGGCTCACAGTTCTATAGGCTCTACCCAAAACACAGTGCCAGCATCTGTTTCTGGCAAGGCCTGAGGAAGCTTAGAATCATGGTGGAAGGCAAAGGGGAGCCATGGCGAGACTGGGAGCAACAGAGAGAAGGGAAAAGTTTCAGACCCTTTTACACATCCAGATCTCTTGTGAACTCATTACCACTGGGAGAGGACCAAGCCATTCATGAGAGATCCAAACACCTCCTATGAGGCCCGCTTCCAACAGTAGTAGTCATATTTCAATCTGAGATTTGAGGAAGTAAAATATTCAATCCTTATCATTTTCATTCAAACTGGAGGCCCAGGTTATCTTGGGAAATCATAAGTCTCAATTAAATTTGAACATCCAAGTCATGAATCCACTTCCCCAAAGAGGTTCTGGTTGTTACTAATAGATGCTTGACCAGTTTTTGGATTACACTGTAATTCTTAAACATGCTCAATCACATGAACATCAGTTATTTTAGTCACATTTACTTTGTAACTTCAAGAAGTCTACCAAAAATAACTCTGGTTCTATTAGTGTAATTTGAGCCGCAACTTTTCTTTCTGAACCTGCAATTTTCTTTCTATAAACTCTGCAGTTCAATCATAACATAAGCATCCTAGCCCACTCACTACTAGCTGTCATCACTAATGGTCATGTACAGCAACCACTTGTTTAGACAAAGCATGCTCTTCCTCAGGCACTTCATTCCATGTAAGCAGTGATGGTTTAATTCATCAACATTACCAGCACATGTCATATTCCCTGTGGACCTTTTTCTCTTGTAAAGAAATTCAATATGATGCAAAGGCCATTACACTACTCAGATCTCCATCTTTGAGGGTCTATTTTCAGACCTTATTGTATCCATCACTGCTTCATGAATGGTCCTGTCAGAACACTGAAAACAAAGTGTGTGCTGAAGTGGGCTTATAATGTTGAGTGTATTGTGTACTTGTCTTCCTAATCTGTATTTTGACATCACGTTTGTAGTTTGAATCAGACACGATGAGAGTATTTACATCTTAAAAATAGCAAGTTCTGCAAATCAATGTTTCTCCTTTACTCTGTCGATACCAGCCAGTTGCTAAACATTCACCACACCTCACAACCCTTATATATTTTAAGTAGACAATGTTTAATAGAGTTGATTAAATATATATTGGATAGCTAAAAGCAAAAATCTATACCTGTAAATATTCAGAAACCAATAATTGCAAGAATAATTTTCAAACTGAGGTGTCAGGAACTTAAGGAAAGAGGTGTCATTTTGAGAACGTAATGGTGCAAAGGAATAGTGCAATGAGATGTGTGTTCAGAGGGAACACTGCACTGCTATTGCTTGTATAAACAAAGAGATTGTTTAAACCACAGAAAAAGCAGCCTGGTCCCCACAGGCTGCTGTGAGGAGAGCACCCTGCTATGGTAGCAGGAAAGATGGAGTTCATTTCCCAGTGGATATGTGAGAGCAGTGCGGCTGGTGCTCTCCTTGATAGGTATGGTTTCTTTGCTTTTGGTACCTGAGTAAGGACAGAGATGCTGGTGCTGGGAATACCACCAGGCTCCACATACATATTCAAAGTCCAGGAGGTTTGTCCCATGATGGAAAACTTTCCAAGTCTACTTGCTTCACCATCTTCTCTGACAGCTCCGACCTGATAATAGTCTGTTTAACTTCAGAGACAGTGAAAGATGTTGGAATGAAACCCTCCGGAAATCACCCCCACATAGAAACATCACTGGACAACTATCCACATGCAAAAATACCTTCACAAAAGCTAATGAAACCAAGTAAGATATCCCAGTACCTTCCTGCAGCGCAATAATAAGAAATAGCGTGTTAAAGAGAGTAGGAAGAGGAGTTTTACATTACCTGCATTACCCTCACCCTAGGTAGCACAGTACGAACACAGAAAAAAAAAAAATCATTTGGGGGAAAGAGAAAAATGTGAGCATAGCACTTTGCATGTTCCCCAATACTGGGCCCTCCAAAGTAAAAACCACCACTAGCAAAACTTCCAAAGAGTTACATTCCATGTTGGTAGCCAAAGACTGAGCCTCTAGACTCACTTCAGTGCCAGGAAGGACCACACAGCTGCAGGGTTCAGGCATGCATGGCAAATTTAATATATGGCTTGCACCACTGTGGGTTCAACTTCTGTGGCTCCAGGCTTCAGCTAACACTCAGCAACATATAGGCCTCACCAATATCTGTCTTAAGGAACACTCTAGCACTGTGCCTGCCATGGCAAGCCCTAGGCTGCCTTCAGTTCTGTCCTAACTGCAGCTGCCCCAAGCTTCTGTCATGCCCTAGCACTATGCCTGGCACAGGACCTTCCCACAGATTAGTCTGTGAAATATAGAGTCAGTACGTACCTTTCCAAATGGGCAAACATAGACACATGGCCTCAAGGATGAAGAGCAATCAGGAAAACATGTTATCAACAAATGGACAAAAATGAAGTAATAATAATTGACCCTGAAGAAATAAGGATGCATAATCTGCTTGAGAAATAATTTTAAATAACTTTGCTAAACTTCCTTTAGAAACTTCAAGAAAAAATTCAAGAAAATAAAAAAAAACAGTAAGTGGCTAAAATTAGAAATTTAATAGACAAATTGAAATTTTGGAAATATCAGAGTCCTGGAGCTAGAAAAAACGGAATGAAATGAAAAATAAGATATTATCAACAGATTCGATCAAGGAGAAAAAAATCTGTGAACGTGAATATAAGTTATTTGAAAATAGTCAGAGAAGTGAAAAAAAGAAAAAAGGTCCCGTGGAATTTATGCTTTAAGGAGGTTCTGTTTTGATGTATTTTGAGGATTTGTTTCAAGATTCAGAGCTGCTTTTAGTGGTTCTTGTAGTGATGGCTTGGTAGTGGCATATTCACTCAGTATTTGACTGAAAAAGACTGTATTTTACCTTCCTTTATGAAGCTTAGTTTCACTAGATACAAAATTCTTGGCTGATAATTGTTTTGTTAAGTAGGCTGAAAATGGGGCCCCAATCCCTTTTAGTTTGTAGGGTTTCTGCTAAGAAATCTGCTGTTAATTTGATAGGTTTTCTTTATAGGTTGCCACTTGGTTTTGCCTCATAGCTCTTAACATTCTTCCCTTTGTCTTGACTTTAGATAACCTTATGACTATGTGCCTAGTTGATAATATATATGTAATGAATTTCCTAGGTAATCTTTGAGCTTCTAGTATTTGGATGTGTACATTTCTAGCAAGGCCAGAGCCCCAAATACATTTTCCAGACCTTTAGATTTCTCTTTCAGGAATGCCAACTAATTTTAGGTTTGGTCATTTAACATAATTCCAAACTTCTCACAGTCTTTGTTCATCTTTTTAAATTGTTTTGTCTTTGTTGGATTGGGTTATTATGAAAACCTCGTCTTTGAGCTCTGAAGATTTTTCTTCTGCTTGTTTGATTCTATTGCTGAGACTTCCCAGTGCATTTTGCATGTCTATAAACTCCCCCCAAAAAGGCAATGAAAAGCAATCAAGAAAGCTTACAAAATTTGTGAGACAGGTAAAAAGATCAAATGATTGAGTTATACAAGTTAGAGAAAGAAAAAAAAGATAAAAAGTAGAAAATTTATTTTTAAAAAGAAAAATAGTAACAGAAAACTTTCCAAACCTGCAAAAAAATGCTAATATCCAAGTACGTGAACGTCAAAATCTAAAATTAGTCCTTCCAAATGAGTCCACTCCATGATATATTAGAATCAAACATATTTGACATGGTTTGGAGTGTCCTCACTGAAATGTTTTCTTTTTTTATATATTTTTAAAAAGATAAAATTTACAAGACTCCTTCTCAGTACCTAAATGTGGCTTCAGCAAACTCAGAAGAATGAAAGTCATCTTGGTAAAATCATCACAGAAGGTGAAATATCAGCTTGAATTATGCCTCCCAGAATTCCCACATGTTGTGGGAGGGAGACAGGGAAAGGTAATTCAATCATTGGGGTCAGTCTTTTCCATGCTGTTCCTGTGATAGTTAATGAGTCTTGCCAGATGTGATGGATTTATCAGGGGTTTCCACTTTTGCTTCTTCCTCATCTTCTCTTGTTGCCATCATGTAAGAAGTGCCTTTCACACCCCTGCCATGATTCTGAGGCCTCCCCAGCCGCGTGGAACTGTAAATCCATTTAAACCTCTTTTTCTTTCCAATCCCAGGTATGTCTTTCATCAGATCCACTGACAGCTTGCCTTGTGTGCCTGGAAAAGCCACAGACACCCAACACCAAACCATGAAAGCAGCTTGGAGGGAGGCTGTACCCTGCAAAGCCACAGGGACCAAGCTGTCCAAGACCATGGGAATCCACCTCTTACGTCAGTTTGACCTGGATATGAGACCTGGATTCAAAGGAGGTCATTTTGAAGCTTTAAAATTTGACTTCCTCACTGGATTTGGAACTTGCATGGGCCCTGTAACCTCTTTGTTTTGGCCAATTTCTGCTACCTGAAATAACTGTATTTACCCAATAAAAGTACCCTGTTGTGTCTAGGAAGCAACTACCTTGCTTCTGATTCTACAGGCTTATAGGCAAAAGGGACTTGCCTTGTCTCAAATGAGTTTTTGGGCTATGGACTTTTGAGTTAATGATGAAATGATTTAAGACTTTAAGAGACTGTCGGGAAGACATGATATTGAGATGTGATGACATGAGATTCGGAGGGGTCAGGGCAGAATGATATGATCTGTGTCCCTACTGAAATTTCAACTTAAATCGTATCTCCCAGAATTCCCATGTTGTGGGAGGGACACAGGGCAAGGTAATAGAGCCACGGGGAATAGTCTTTCCCATGTTGTTTTTGTGATAGTGAGTAAGTCTCACAAGATTTGTTGGGTTTATCAGGGGTTTCTGCTTTTGCTTCTTTCTCTTTTTCTCTTGCTGCCACCATGTTAGAAGTGCCTTTCACCTCCTGCCATGATTCTGAGGCCTCCCCAGTCACGAGGAACTGTAAGTCCAATGAAATCTCTTTGTCGTCCCAGTCTTGAGTATGTCTTTATCAGCAGCATGAAAATGGACTAACACAATATTATAATAAAAAAAGATAAAGAGGGGAGCTTGTAAGCAGCAAGAGTAAAGAAGCAAATAACATATAAGGAATTTCTAATAGAGCTAGCTGTAGATTTCTCAGCAGATACCTTACAGGGAAAGAGAGATTAGGATGATATGTTTAAAGTGCTGAAGGACAAGAAACTGCCAATGAAGAATACTATACCTAGCAAAAGTATCCTTCAGAAATAGTGAGAAAAAGCCTTTCCCAGATACACAAAAGCTGAAGAGTTCATTACCACCAGACCTATCTTACCTGTCTTACCAGAAATACTCAAGAGAATTTTTCAAACTAAAATAAATATAAATATGATTATTAATTCAAAAACATCTGAAAGTATAAAGGTATAAAACTTACTGATAAAAGTAGGCACTTAAACTTAGAATACTTTAATACCATCCATAATGGTTATGGATGAAAACCTATGTCTTTAGTATGCAGGCCAAAAGACAAAACTATCAAAAATAATGGCTATAGTAATTTGTTAAAATATGTAAATTGTAATGTCAAACATTTGAAATGTGTGTTGGGGGAATTAAGTAAAATTATAGAGAAAGAGTGTGTGTGGGTTTGTGTGTGGGTGTGTGGATGCGTGCACTCAAAGATAAGTTGTTATCAGATTAGAAAAACCTGTTATAAATGTTTTTGTAAGTCTCATGGTAACCATCAAGCAAATACACTAAACATAAAAAGCAAAAAATGAAATCACGTCACTAGAGATAACCACTTAGCCACTAAGGAGGACATCTAGAAAGGAAGGAAAAAAAAGGAATTTATAAAATGACTAGAAAACAACCAAATTATAGTAATAGTAATAATTAATCATTAGCTTACATGCAAACCAATAGATTATCTAATCAAAATATAAAGAATGGCTACATGAATTGAAGGAAAACAAAAAGCCCAAACCAACTATCTGCTTACTACAAGAGACCAACTTCATCTGTGAGTACATACATACACTCAAGGTATTAAAAAAAACATATCCTATGAAAGTAATAAAGCAAAAGAAAACATCGATAGCTGAAAAAAGATAGTAGCAATACCTATACTTATCTGAGGTAAAATAGACTTTATTTCAAAGTACAAAAAAGAGAGACAAGGCCGTAATATAATAATAAAAGAGGTCACCTCACCATGAGGGTTCAATAATTTGAAATATATATGCACTCAATATTGGAGGCCCTAAATATATGAAGCAAATATTAATAGATCTAAAGGGAGAGATAGACTGCAATATAATAATAGAATCTTTAACACCCTTTTTGTAGCAATAGACTATCCTGACAAGAAATCAATAGGCAAACATCAGCATTAATCTACACTCTAAATTAAAGGGACATAATAGATATATATACAGAACATTCCATTCAATAGTTGCAAAATATACATCCTTCTTAACTACATATGAAATATCCAGGATATATCATATATTAGACCACAAAATAAGTCTCAACAACTTTAAGAAAACTGAAGTCACATCAAGTAACTTTCCTAACCACAGTTATAGAACTAGAAATTAGTAATAGGTGAAACTTCAAAAATGCACAAATACATGGAAAGAAAACAGCATGCTCCCAAATAACCAATGGCTCAATGACAAAATAAAAAGAAAAATTAAAGGCCAGGCGCGGTGGGTCAAGCCTGTAATCCCAGCACTTTGGGAGGCCGAGGCGGGTGGATCACGAGGTCAACAGATCGAGACCATCCTGGTCAACATGGTGAAACCCCGTCTCTACTAAAAATACAAAAAATTAGCTGGGCATGGTGGCGCGTGCCTGTAATCCCAGCTACTCGGGAGGCTGAGGCAGGAGAATTGCCTGAACCCAGGAGGCAGAGGTTGCAGTGAGCCGAGATTGCGCCATTGCACTCCAGCCTGGGTAACAAGAGCGAAACTCCGTCTCAAAAAAAAAAAAAAAGAAAAATTAAAATATTTCCTGGGAAAAAAAAATGAAAACACAATATACCAAAACCTATCAATAGAGCAAAAGCAGCTCTATGAGAGAAGCTTACAGCATAAAAACCTACATCAAACAAGGAGATTGCAAACAACCTCACATTGCAAAAGATATGGCCAACGATATGTTCACTCTCTCTTGTTTATTCTGGCATTATTCACTATAGCCAAGAAATGAAATCAACCTAAGTTTCCATTAATGGATGAAAGAATAAATAAAATCTTATGTATATGTATGTAATATAATACCATTCAGCAACAAAAGAGAAGGAAATTCTGTGGTCTGCAACAACAGAAGAACATGTAGCACATTATGTTAAGTAACTAAGCCAGGAAGCGAAAGACAAATACTACATAATCTCACTCATATGTGGAATCTGTAGGTATTGATCTCACAAAAGTAAACGATAGGCTGATGATTAGAGGTAGATAGGATGGTTGGAGAGTATGGGGTTGGAAAAAGGTGGGTCAGAAATTTCAGCTACGTAGGAAAAAAAATAAGATTAAGGGTTCTATTGTACAACATGGCAACTATATAGTTAATAGTATATTCTTGAAAAATGCTAGGAGAATGGTTAAGTGTTCTCACTATAAAAATATAACAGTGTGAGTTAATGTTAATTAACTATATTTAGTCATTTTATTGTGTGTGTGTGTGTGTGTGTGTGTGTGTGTGTGTGTGTGTGTAGAGTTGACTTTTGAACAGCATGTGTTTAAACTGTGTGGGTCCAATTATATTCAGATTTTCTTCCAATTCTCTCATCCCTGAGAAAGCAAGACCAATGCCTCTGGTTCTCCTCAGCCTATTCAATATAAAGATAAGGAGAATAAAGTCCTTTATAATAATCTACTTGTTCTTAATACACAATAAATAAAATTTCTCTTCCTTTTGATTTTCTTAGTAACATTTTCTTTTCTCTAGATTATGTCATTGTAAGAGTACGTTAACAAATGTACAAAATATGTGTTAATCAACTATTTGTTATGAGTAAGGCCTCCAGTTAACACCTGACTATTAAGTTTTGGGGGAGTCCAAATTTATACATGAGTCTTTGTTTGTGTAGGGTTTACTGCTTCTAATCTCCATGTTGTTCAATAGTCTGTTGTGCTCAAGACGTTTTGTACCTGGTAAATACATACATATTTATCTATCAATTAAATGTTTAATTTTTTTTAAAGTAAAATCACTTAACATTAATGTGAAAAATAAATAAGAAATAAGAGAATTAATGGAAATCGAAGTAATTATAAGTTTGTTGCAATAACTTAGGAGGGAAATTTCGAGGGCTGTAACAGTGCCATTATGCTGAACAGACAGGGTAGTCTGAAAAGCTTCCTGGGACATCAAAGTTTATTTGTCTTCATCCTATTTAGGTAACAGTTTTAATAAGTGTTAGATTTAACTTTGAAATTGTTGTATTTCAAATGCAAAAAAAGTGTATGTTCTTAATATTCAGTAGCCAACTTTGTACAGAGTATTTTTAAGTGTGCTTTAGAAGTTCAATTTAGAACAGAAAACTATAGCATTTCAAGTCGAAATGCCACTATTTCATTTCTACATAGTTAAGTTGAAAATAAAATATTAATTCAATTATTTAGTAATAAACATCTAGGTTTAGTATTTTTATAGTTTCATAGTAGTTAATGACTATATTTAGATCCAATGCAAACTTTTTTTTTCATTTAGTTTTCATTTTTAAAAATAAATATAACAGGCCGTAACACGTGAAGTCTTGATTACTCAGAGATCAGTATTCTGGAATTTTTATATAGTCTAATCAGTATCAAATATATAATTAAAGAGGTTTATACAATCTCAGAGAATAAATGTACACTATGTGCAGTAACTTTTATTGATAAGTT